AGCCAGGACTGAGGAAAACTGGTCGATCCTAATGACTGATGCTGATAGATACCCGAGACTTGAGCTTAGATCAGGACTGAGGCTAGTGAAGATATCCCAGGGACAGGCGGCTGTAGACCTGAAAAGGCATGAGGCTGTAGACCCAGACATTGAGGTTTACTGTAGACCCAGACTGTAGTCTGGTAGAACCCAGACTGAGGCCAGTTAAGAAATACCATGACTGATGGCTGTAGACCCAGGAACTGCAGAGGCTGTATGACCCAGGACTGAGGCATGTAGATCGTCTTCAGACCGAATGAGCAAGAGCAATATCTCTAGGACAGATGCTGTAAGACCCGAGGATTATCATAGGAGGACAGTAGATATCAGGACAATTATTGACTGTAGAGACCCAGGACAGAGGCATAAGATATGGAACACACCCTGGAACCAGAGAGCTGTAGACGCCAATGTACTGAGAGACTGTAGATCACAGGACCGGAGATGCAAGTATGGAATCCAAGGCACCGAAAATCAGATATACCCTAGAAAGACTAGAGCGCTGTTAGAACCAGGTACTGAGGCTGTATTGAACTCCAGAACTGAGGCTAGTAGACCCGAGGACATGAGTTCTTGTAAGACCCGATGACTGAGGCGTAAGATCCAGGACTGAGGCTGATAAGACCCCGAATACCGGATCGGAACCGCAGGCATTTATAAAGTAACTTTTATCAAATCTGTGCATTCATCAGCGCTCTGAAAAACGCATCAATTGACCCATAAGTAATCAAGTAATATGTAATATGTTTTACGATCATAAACGCAGAGCGAATACCATTTTGTACATCTGGCCGATAACGAAGTCGAGTTTCGCTACATTCAACATCTCAGACCTGGGGCTCCACGCCGCAGATCCTCAGCAATTTAAATCCTTCAACCATCGCTGCTACAATCGCCGAGTAGAAACAAATAAAATCTTACAAGGCATCATATACTCAAAGTGAAAAGTGAGCAGAAATAGACAAAATAGCTCACATGGGTCTTATTGAATCTTTTTTATGATAGTAATTTCTTGACACGCTGCTGAGCTATGTAGATAGAATAATGAGTGCCAGATTTAAAAGTAGTAAGCACCGGAATCGCACTCGTGCCTACGCATCTATGTAGGACTCTAGTGGAGAGTCCTGAAGTCAGTTGCTAGGCACTAAACGTTATAGGACAGTATAGAAGAGTTTTATTTTATTATGTTTTAATATGTGCGTCAGTTTTTTTATGGTAGCGAGCCGTTAAAGGACGTAGAGGCACAGATCATACAGTGTTACATGTTTTGTTGAGTTTCTGCTGAGATTTCCCAAGACGTAGACCGTGGATTGAGATGTGGGAGAGGGACCGCTCCCCAGTGAACCAGCTGTAGCGCAACGTGCAAGGACTTAGACCGTCGTTTAAAGTATTATATCCCATACTTTTTTCTTATATGGTACTTTTAGTTAACCTGGACAAGCAACAATTTTAATCATTTTATGAATGATATTTTGCTAATAAAGTCTTTATTTGGACTTCCCTTGGAATACAGTGTTTCTCCTTGCACACTATTTACAATAGATTCCAATCCACCCAACTGTTCACTACTGTTCACATCTTGGTTCTACTCCTGTGGTTACAACTTCATGGTCTCAACTCAGGTTCAAGCTACTGGTTCACAATCAGTTACTTCTACATAATAGAACATATAGGCCCCATCGATATGCAACACAATGACATGTTGGTAGAATCAATAGTCTGTCTTATGACTCCATAACATCAGTACCTCATGTCAATATTCATGCATGTCCTGGCACTGTTGATACGTACATGGGTCTCCATGGGTTAGCGATACAACGGTTGAATTTCGACGCGACTCCAATCAGAGAGCACGTGGAGCGGTGTTGTTGATAGTTTAGTGTGGGGACGTCAAGAGTTTGCGTTGGAATAACAGGAAGGTTTGTAGATATTGGTCAATAACCCCACCCCCAGCCTACCCAAACATCATCCCAAGCAGAAGAATTAGATAGAACCTCAATTGACCAGATTACTTTATCTATGCCAAGAACTGAAGCCGAGAAGCGAGGAAAGTTGTTATATAGAAATTTGTAATATCACTAGACCAAAATGTGTGGCGTCTCCTCATCGCATCACGTGGACAACCGTTAGCGCGAAAGAGAGCTGTCGAGAGGAGCGGGGCGCTAAAGCGTAGGCTAAGTGCTAACAGCCAGGACTCAGGTGGCGCACTACTACGTCACGGTAAAGGCTGCAAAAACCAATGGAGTTTGCAATCTGCAGCAAGGAAGATTTAGCCCCTACCAATCCACTATGTTCAGCATAGGAAGAGCATCAATGGAGCACCACCATTACGTCTATAGTATTGAAATGATCAGTACTATGGTGTGGATACTCGATACAGGCTAGCGAAATCCAATCAACATTCTGAGAGAATAACTTATGCTTTGTAATTTGGGCCAATATACAACCACTAGTCCTAAATACATTTGAGAAGTAATTGAAGCTATTTATAATAAGATTGTGCTCTAAACCCTATCGATCTGTTTAGAACTTTAGCTAAAGCTATACGCCATTATGAGTAGAACCTACTAGACCATCTAGCTAAATCATGGGCTAGCAATCACCTGGCAACACAAAGAGACGCAATCAGGTCAGCAGCGCGTGGGGAACTTATTCTAAGAGCAATGTAAGATAAGCTAATCCGGTTAGCACCGTAGCCATCTGTATAATAATGCCCAAGTTTTAGCCCATTGTTGTGTCAACTCGGGAGTAAACCGTATCACATCAAACCAAAGCTAATGTGTCTTGCCAAGTGCATTCGTAAAACAAACACGGGTCGTGATAAACCAGAAGCGCACGATGTTATTACAATTGATTTTTCACAAAATCAAAAATCATATCTACAATTTAAGAGATAAGACAGTTTTTCGCTCGTAAAGACTACCAATCCACTTCCACAATCACTGTTTAGTATGTCAGAGCAGAATAAACGAGCCAGTTGTCATCTTTCCCTTTCACTGCCAAAACGCTCTGCTGTAGTACACATACAATTAGCAGAGTCATATTCACATATAACCTGCTAGGGTTGCCGCGTACCTTTCACATTCACTTCAAAACCGCTATGCAATATACGGCAACAGTTAGATTGTGTATACTCACAGTGAGAGAGGTCTAGTGATGTGTATACTAATAATGTTTTCTAAACCGAGGTAATCAATCTTGCAGCACGGTAATGATAAGCTTTCAAATACAAAAACATGTTAAATAAATCCTATTAGCAACTAGTTCCTGGCGATTAAATCAGTCTGGTTCATATTGTATGAGTTTAGCGTTGGCTCATCGCATCATCACTGGATTGAGTTTTCAGTACAGAAAAGTGGAAACGAGAGAGGCAGCGTCTCAACATAGTCAGAACAAAGAAGTACGAGCGAGATACATAGAACAAAGATGAACTTATATGAAACCTCTGTTGGAGATGTTGCTATAGAGTGTTCAGAAAGCGCATGCAAAAATAAACTTGTATCATTCTATATAAGATTACAATAGAATAATACAATATAACAGTACCATTCAGGGTCACTAGCAACAGATGACGCGGAGCGCTTGGTCAACATTGACTCTGACTCTGGTCTGGACTGCAGTGTAAAACATGAATCCTCTCTGCTTTCACATGGTCGTCAATGGACCAGTAGTAAACAAACATCGAATAGTGCACCTGCTCTGCTACCCTGACTGGACTCAGTGGTAAAACATTGAATCCGTCTACTGGCTCATGGTCTGGACCATGTAAAACGACATTGAACACATGATACTGCAGAAAGAGCCGTTTTTTCCAGCAGGTAAGTTGACATTCAAAGAAACATTGTATGTAGACACCAAGTGGGCGGGTTCCTGTCGCTTAAAGGTAATGCAAATACCCAACACTGCTGGGCTGTGAGGGTGTACGCGAAGAGATTATCCCCAATGCATTGTAAGGCGTCTTACTTCCTTCTGGAAATTACATCTCTACAGGACGGATCCTTCGAAAGTGTGCTACCATAACATCGTTCAATGTTCTGAGGGAAGATAGATTTATTTGGACCAGTCCAGTTTAGTATATCTCTGTGGACTTCAGAATACACCGGACTGAATTAGGGTGAAAATGCGCTGAGCAGCTGGGCATACAATCCTACACGCGCCCGCTGTAAGGTTTTTAAAAAGTCCAAGAGGATGATACATCAATGATTTTCAACAGCGGAAGAATAGTCTCGAATATCGTCTGTTGATATTTACCACAGACTGCGCTATAAATAAACACAAACATTACTTACTGTACTATGAGAAGAGACAGAGGGAGAGACCAAAGAGAGATGAGAGAACTGGAGCGAAGAAGAATCAGAGAAACTAAAGGTATAGAGACAAGAGAAGAGAGAGACAGAAGAGAGAGAACCAAGAGGGAGAAGAACCAGAGAGGAAGAAACGGCAGAGGAGAGAGAGAGACAAAGCAGAAGAAGAAGATCCGCAGAGGGAGAGACCATGTATAGAGCGACCATGGAGAGAGAAAGACCATTGAGAGAGAAAAGAACCTAGGGACAAGAGAAAGAGCCAGGGACTAGAGAGAGACCATGGGGTGAAGATAGACCAGAGAGAGAGAGAGACCAGAGAGGAAAGTTAGCGCATGTGGATCTAAAATTAGTTCAATTGTTACTTTTAGGGCCGAGACTTTAATTGTTTCGGGAAAAAGTATAATGTTTATTCTGATGAATAAACTTTACATCCTCACTTCTTGGAGTGTGTCATTTGGTCTTCACTCTTCCGGACATAAGATGTTTTCTAGCTTATCATGTTCGAGTCTTGCCAATTTCGTCTTTTTAACATGTGAAAAAGTTTGAAGAAGCAGGGACGATGCGGCTACCTTGAGGGGGGGGGTGGCTAGTACTATTGGCAAAGCCTTACAAGATTTTCCTATGCTCGTCCTGTGGATAACAGCTATCTACTGACACATGCAGAGAGATGGGGTAAAGGTCGAGAGCGAGGCAGCGCAACAGAGCAAGTGCACTCTTATTCTACCTGGAGGGCATTCAACGAGCCTGCCGGCAGGGTGGGGGGGGGGGGGGGGGGGGGGGGGGGGTGGGTGGGGGGGGGGGGGGGGGGGGGGGGGGGGGGGGGTGGTTGGGGGTGGGGGGGGTGGGGGGGGGGGGGGGGGGGGGTGGGGGGGGGGGGGGGGGGGGGGGGGGGGGGGGGGGGGGGGGGGGGGGGGGGGGGGGGGGGGGGGGGGGGGGGGGGGGGGGGGGGGGGGGGGGGGGGGGGGGGGGGGGGGGGGGGGGGGGGGGGGGGGGGGGTGGGGGGGGGGGGGGGGGGGGGGGGGGGGGGGGGGGGGGGGGGGGGGGGGGGGGGGGGGGGGTGGGGGGGGGGGGTGGGGGGGGGGAGGGGGGGGAGGGGAGATGGGGGTGGTGGTGTGGTGAGAGAGAGAGAGATGATGATATTAGAGGAGGAGGATAGTGGAGGAGAGGAGAGTAAGTATAACTGGAGACTATGAAGTTTTTTTGAACAAAAAAAATAATGGAGATGTGAGAAACTGTTATGTTTCAAAAAGGTAAATGTTGGATGAGTCAAACTGTATATCTTCATTTATCATGCTTCCATCAGAGAAGAGAGACCAGAGAGAGACTCAGAGAGTACACCAAGAGACCCGTCTAGAGAGAGAGATACCCCATTTGTCTGTATTCATGGTAACGATGACGGGATCTCTGAGCCTGGCCTCTCTTCCATCTACACACCTGCGGACTGCCCCGCCCGACCCGCCTGGGAGTGCTTACGGTCCTGCACCGGACCTGTCCACGTTCAGAATCGTCCACAGTCCCAGCTTCTGTAGCTAGCTTCATGGTCTAGATCATTAGCCTGTCCTGTCCGAGGAGCGGATCCCTTTTCACTCATATGGGTCTCCCTCCCTGTGGGTTTCCCTAGTTCTCCTACCAAAGGTTTCTCACTTTTCCCCACTGGGTTTTTAAGAGTTTTTTTCCTTGTCGAGAGAGACCAGAGAGAGACCAGAGAGAGAGACCAGAGAGAGAGACCAGAGAGAGACCAGAGATTGAGACCAGAGAGAGACCAGAGAGAGACCAGAGAGAGACCAGAGAGAGACCAGAGAGAGACCAGAGAGAGAGACTAGAGAGAGACCAGAGAGAAACCAGAGAGAGACCAGAGAGAGACCAGAGAGAGAGAGAGAGACCAGAGAGAGAGAGACCAGAGAAAGACCAGAGAGAGACCAGAGAGAGACCACAGAGAGACCAGGGAGAGACCAGAGAGAGACCAGAGAGAGAGACCAGAGAGAGAGACTAGAGAGAGACCAGAGAGAAACCAGAGAGAGACCAGAGAGAGACCAGAGAGAGAGACCAGAGAAAGACCAGAGAGAGAGACCAGAGAGAGACCAGAGAGAGACCAGAGAGAGACCAGAGAAAGACCAGAACGTGAGACCAGAGACAGAGAGACCAGAGAGAGACCAGAGGGAGAGACCAGAGAGAGACCAGAGAGAGAGACCAGATGGAGACCAGAGAGAGACCAGAGAGAGACCAGAGAAAGACCGGAGCGAGAGACCAGAGACAGAGAGACCAGAGAGAGACCAGAGGGAGAGACCAGAGAGAGACCAGAGAGAGAGACCAGAGAGAGAGACCAGAGAGAGAGACCAGAGAGAGAGACCAGAGAGAGACCAGAGAGAGACCAGAGAGAGACCAGAGAGAGAGACCAGAAAGAGAGACCAGAGAGAGAGACCAGAGAGAGACCAGAGAGAGACCAGAGAGAGACCAGAGAGAGACCAGAGAGAGAGACCAGAGAGAGACCAGAGAGAGAGACCAGAGAGAGACCAGAGAGAGACCAGAGAGAGACCAGAAAGAGACCAGAGAGAGACCAGAGAGAGAGACCAGAGAGACCAGAGAGAGAGACCAGAGAGAGACCAGATAGAGACCAGAGACAGAGAGACCAGAGAGAGACCAGAGAGAGAGAGACCAGAGAGAGAGACCAGAGAGAGACCAGAGAGAGACCAGATTGAGACCAGAGATAGAGACCAGAGAGAGACCAGAGAGAGACCAGCGAGAGACCAGAGAGAGACCAGAGAGAGACCAGAGAGAGAGACTAGAGAGAGACCAGAGAGAAACCAGAGAGAGACCAGAGAGAGACCAGAGAGAGAGACCAGAGAGAGAGAGACCAGAGAAAGACCAGAGAGAGACCAGAGAGAGACCAGCGAGAGACCAGAGAGAGACCAGAGAGAGAGACCAGAGAGAGAGACTAGAGAGAGACCAGAGAGAAACCAGAGAGAGACCAGAGAGAGACCAGAGAGAGAGACCAGAGAAAGACCAGAGAGAGAGACCAGAGAGAGACCAGAGAAAGACCAGAGCGAGAGACCAGAGACAGAGAGACCAGAAGAGACCAGAGGGAGAGACCAGAGAGAGAGACCAGAGAGAGAGACCAGATGGAGACCAGAGAGAGACCAGAGAGAGACCAGAGAAA